GGTCGTCAGACTGGTTGGACATGCACCTCCACTCTTTCCTATCCTGAGCTAATCTTCGTATTTCCCTAATGTTAGATGCTAGATGTTAGATAATTTTTAATGCGAACACTAATCTAATCTAGGTCTACCTCTACCCTTCCTAACTTCCGTTTCTACCTCTAATATGTCTCTGACCAGATCCTCATGTCTGAGACAGTGTGCTACTAATCTATCTCGCCTATTTCTTATTGACTTTCATACAGTGCTCCGTTCTCCTATTCTTTCTAATACCTCTTAATTTCTAACCTTCTCTATCCACGGTATCCTCATCATTCGCCTGTAACACCACATTTCGAACGCTTCTAACCTTTTCCTTTCCGCCGCGTCCATTGTCCATGTTTCGCACCCGTACAGCGCCGTGCTCCAAACATACACCTTGTACGGGTGCGAAACACGGATACTGGGCGCGGCGGAAAAGAAAAGGTTATAAGCATTCGAATGTAGTGTTATAGGCGAATGATGAGGATACCGTGGATAGAGAAGGTTAGAAATGAAGAGGTATTAGAGAGAGTAAGAGAACAGAGGACTCTATGGAAGTCAATAAGAAATAGGCGAGATAGATTAGTAGGACACCTTCTCAGGCATAAGGGTCTGGTTAGAGACATATTAGAGGCAGAAACGGAAGTTAGGAAGGGTAGAGGTAGACCTAGATTAGATTAGTGTTCGCAAATTGTTAAGGATGTAGGTTGTTCTAACATTAGGGAAATACGAAGATTAGCTGAGGATAGGAAAGAGTGGAGGTGCATGTCCAACCAGTCTGACGACCTTATGATAATAATGAAGGATATAGATACGAATTGAAAATATCCTTAAAGGAGTATTTTTAGTAGTATAAATAAAATATCAATTTACAGTATAAAATAGGTCAGCAGCATTAAAAATGAAGAAACGAAACTTTTAGCGTTGAATTCCATATAATAAAGAAGGTTACAATTTAGACAAAAACGGAATCTTCTTAGGTACGCAGTGTCGGATTTTGAAATGCTTTCACCTCCACAATAACGTAAAAGACAACAAAAGTGTTTTAGTATCTTTATAAAATCCGCTATACTCTATACAAAGTACGAACATAGTTAAACACAGATAATAGCTCTTACGTAAAAACAATTTATCAAAAAAATCGAAAATGCACCGTAAAGTCAGTTTTATGTATTGGATGAAAAATTAATTGCTTTTACTTATCGTGGAGACATCGACTGTGAAGTTAACAACTTTCATTTAAGTTTTCCTAGAAGATAAATGGAAACATTACAAATTCGAGAACATCCAGTATTGTTTTTGTCAACAAATGACAAATTTCAACGAAAAAAATGTACAATAGATTTATGATTTGTAATAGTTTCGACCTGTACGTGATGAAAATATGTAATTTCAACGAAATAACGTAATTTTATGATTTTCATTACGTTTTTGTTTACTTGAACCGTATTTGTTTTGTCAAAGGTTGGCTTCATATCAGCTGAGATCTGTTAAGATCAAAATCGTGATCCACGTTTTAGACCAAAGTCATTTTTAAGTTATCCACAGTTCGTAATTTAGATAATGTATTTTGCTGTTATGTGACATAATATTTTGGCATTTTTAAATGAAAACATTTGTCTCAAAACAATTTGAACTGTTATTAAGAATCATAATTTGGGAGTATTATGCGTTACACTTGCCTTAGATCGCATTTGATGTAATTTATCTCAATTTGTCGGACGTCGGGTAGTTAAATTGCACACTTTAAATTAATTAGATGAGCTTTACTATGACCAAATGACCACAGTCACTTCAATAACTCACAGAATGTCGCACATGACCACGTACGCATAAAGGCGTAATTTTTCCGCGCAATTAGTCTAAAAGAATTGTGTTCTGTAGCACATTTATGTCATTATAACGTTATGCTATAATTTCTTATAATGGGTCTTTTTTATTTAAAAAAAAATCGGTTGTCTGTAAAGTCGGTTTACTGACGATAATTGAACGTGACAACGTCATAAGAAAATACTGATGGAATGGTTTCATTTTTCAAAAGAAAATTTTAATTTTATTTGTTTGATAGATATTTTGTATGGATATAGAGAAGGAGGTAAATGGAAATGTATTATTGTATAGCAGCTGTCCACGCGGACGCATCGCTCACTCAAGTAGGAGAGAGACAGATGTCGAACGCTGCCGAACGCGGAGGCCGACTGTGCCTCTTTGTCGTTCGTTCCGCGCTCTCGCTTGCACTTCAAGCCTTAAATGGAACGCCTCAGAGCGAGGTAACGCCGCATGAGTCATGGTTTTTCGTGCGTGCAGCCGGCTCCATCGAATTATAAGACGTTGTCACGTCAAAAAAAAAACAAGTTAGTCTTATGAGCACTTTTTTAGAACATTTGGGGTATATTATTGTCCTTTAAGTATAGTCAGACCTTTTTTGCATGGGCTAAGGATAGACCACATTGTTTTATATTTTAAGCTCTATACATAACCCAGACGGTTTGAACTTTATATAATTAATGACAATGGAAAGCCATAAGCATTCTCGAATTCGCGAGATGTTGCTCGCGGACCACTCATTCATCGAAATACTGCAAGTATAGTTGCGACGATCATAATTGGCATAGTCTGCAATAATCTATGTGTGAGAATGGACATATCTTCTTTCTTGTTTCCACTCGGTATTGTAGTCATTACCTGCATTTTGAACACGCCCTTGTTAAGTTAGAAAATGCTTCATAAGTAGTGCAGACAAACAGAAAAGAGATATAGCGAATAATAGTAAGCGGTGCATAGGTTAGAGCAGGGGTTGGTAACCTATGACCCGTGGGTCACCGAGTGATCCATTTGGTAATTTCGAGTGACCCACTTTAGTTCCGAAAATAAAGTATAAGATATACAAACATTTTTTTCGTTTAGTAATGATTGATTTTAAAAGTTCANATTATTTACTAAAATGCTATTTTAATACGAAAATATGTCTGACCCAAACGTCTCTTAATAATCGCATTTTGGTTAATTTTGACCAGCGGCCAAAGAAGGTTGCCGACCCCTGGGTTAGAGGTTGCTTAGTTACGCTAGCGTCTTTACCTTCCTAAATTCCTGACAATGTTGAACTCTCTTTAAAGTTCGATGCTGGCAACATGCTCAAATTCCGCATCTCTTTATGTTACACATCAGTTGCCGTAATGTTATTCCTTTTTCTTTAATAGTGTCCGCTGCAATTCCGACCTGACATCTCTTTCCTAAGCTTGCGATATTGCCTACAATCCTCGGGAGTAGCTTATATTGTATTTGATAAATAAGTGTGAACATTAGTCAATATCGATCAAATTGCTTCATATACAGGTTAGGTCAATGCTGGACACGTAATCTCACAGGAATACGATAACAGCTATATAATCCCATATAACTTGAGTTCCGTGATAATTCCGTAACTGAGTAAGAAAAGTAAAGAATGACTCAAACGGCGAGTATATTTCCTCCTCTGAAGCGTTTACTATTCTTTACCATCACCCCTCGGTTAGAAAGTGAAATTTTCTTGGTAATCAATTTAGCAACCATGTTTATCGGGAGTAAAATCGCAAAAGTTCTTGGGCTCAGTCTTACGTCGCCTTTTATACCAAGTTTATAACGATGATTGGTTTCAAGAAGATCATTTAAGGTAGCTGTCACAATACAAAAAGCGAGAAAAAAACAGGACGGGTTGTACATGTGCGTAAAAAAGTGGTATATTATCCCACTTTTACACAAGGGAATTTGAAAAAGAATTTATTATGAAGAATGTATGCTCAAATTTTCATCAAATTTCCTCTATCAAAAATTATGGGGTTCCCATAATAAGAATAATTGCTGACTTACTTATTTAATATCACTTTAAATATTCACCTAATGATATGGAATTTTTGCAAGTGTTTTTTACATATTTTGAAAGTTCTTTGATGTGATTCTGTTTATTTACCTCCATGAAGGGTTGAAAGTAACTAAGCATTGCTAGGCGTCATTGTGTTCTATTTAAAATAAAAAACAAAAGTAAAACAAAAAAATTCCAACACAAATTCATTTTCAATAGTAACTACTCTAACTAACATTTTTGTGTTCTATTATGTGGGGGAAGTGTAAGGTAAAAAAACCGCTCTACCTGTTTTGGTTAAATTTATGGGTTAGGAGCTTTTTGAGATGAAAGTTCTGTACTAGTAAACCTCGTTTTCGAAAAAAATCGTTTTCATGCAGTTGTAGTAGATAATATGTCATACTATAGCAAATAACGCATACAGCCCCTAGACAAAATCTCTCAGAATCTCTCAGAGTCTTTCAGCGTCTCTGAGAGCGCCTCTCACAGTCTTCACAGTCTCTCAGTTATTGCCTAGGTGGTTTTGTGGATCTCTCACAGTCTCTGTATGAGAGACTCGAACGATAAAATTGTTAATTCAGAGATTCGAGTCTCTTACAGAGAGACTGAATAAATAAAACTGAAAAATTGAGAGACTCGAGTCTCTCGTAGAAAGACTGGGAGCTCTGAAATATGTTGAATTTAGAAAATTATGTCTATCGAGACACCAATTATTGAGAGATTTAAGCCTCTCGTTCAGAGGCTGGATAGGATCTATGAGCGACTCGTGTCTCCCGCTCAGAGACGCTAAACAGTTTTTTTAACAGTCTCTCTCAGCGACACGAGAGAGACTCGATGAGAGACGGAGACTCGAGTCTCGTTTTCAGAGACTCTGGGAGACTGAACATTTTTATCTCGGAGGGTATAAGGAACCCAAAATGTACTTTGCATATATGTATATTTACATATGTTATATATGTTCACAATAGGTTTATATTAAAGAATTCGCCGCAGATTTCCTTTAAACGCTAAGTAATGATTTACTATTCAAAGTATGAAGTTATGATAAACAAGAAAATGTCGAAACGTAAGTATGAACTTTTCAAACATATGCATACATGTGAAAGACGAATTATATTATACTTTTCTTTTATTTTTATAGCGGAAGCGGACGCGGCAGCCTTACAAATGAGGGGAAGATCAGATGGCGAATCGCCATCGGAACTAGCGTCTATGATCGGAAATGTCATTTCCGAAATGACCAATATCTTTAAGGATAGCTTCGTTGGATTCTTCAGGGATTCCAAGGAAGCCGATGAAGATGAAGAGGAAGAGGAAGAAGACGATGAGAATGATGGACTGGATCAGACAGCTATAGACGACAACAAAAAAGAAAGGCAAAATTTGGAAGGTAACATATGAAATTCGTAGTTATAGAAAGGCGTATCAATATTTGCATAAATATGTATCTTAATTAATCATTTGTGCCGAAATTCTGTTACCGGTTTATATATGTTAATAGTTTTATGGGCTTACTTTTTGCATTAATGTAGTAGTTAAAGTAGAGGCCGATTTAGTCATTCACGGTACATTCTTATGGTAGTACGCACACTTCCGTTAATTTCATCGTTGATACCTGATGATAGCAAAAATGGTCATCATTTCTTATTTCCGTAATTACTCATGCTTCTCAGAAAGTGGGATGTAGTACAGGTTACGAATTTTTAAAAGAAAGTACATGTAACATCTGCACAGTTAACCAGATTTAGCTTCTTCATTGGTTAATCTTACTGACCTCCTTCAAGCAATTCCGTCTCATTATTAAAAACCTATGACCCCGCACATTTTGCAAGCATCAGGTAATAACAATTAGGAATTGTCTAAAAACGTATATGGGCAGTGGACAGTTTTTGAAAAAAAAAACCTAGAATAATATAGATGTCGAGATCTACCAAAAAAAAAGTAGATGACCTGCCTTATTTTACGTTTTTGGACAATAATGACATTCAAATTAATTAAAAGAACAATTACTGTTTCATCTTATGACAAGAAGGTTGTGTCTACAAATAAGGTATAATTCTGTTCATTAATATTTGACCTATAAAATAATGGTTTGTCAAGTATTAAATACCTTGGTATGTCTTTTGTCAAACACATAAAAAACTAAGGGCAATTCGGAGACATATCTACAACAGAATGCAATATAGTGCCTGTACCTCGATAATACATAGACTTACATTTTATGGTGTAACATCTGTTTGGTTACTTCTGAAAACTATTCATAATTATGGTGTGCTGATGAGAACCAATAAATTGAAAATCGCGATTCATACCTTGTAATGTTGATAAATTGCTCAACAAAAATTATCTTCTTTACGAAGGATTATTTTTGTTTTGGAATGTGAAAAGAATATATTACTTTTGCAAATAATTAACAACTGAATTAAGCCGTTTCTTTCCATTATACCAATGCTTCTTTTTTAAATATACATCCGCATGAATTGAATTTTTGTTGAAATCCCAATGCGTTTATGGAATAAATTTGCAGGTATTTGAAAAATTTGAGCTTTTGTGTCGATTTCTGTGACAGAGTATTACTAGTAACTCACAATAAACGAGTAGGGTTAGGGCTTTAACATCACAAAACAAAAATTAAAAATGACCCTTAAAGGTAAAGTGGTCAATACGGTATTTGGAGAGGAAAACCAACTACGAAAAATCTTTTAGACCAAAGGTGGTAGGGACTGAATAATGACATCTGAAATGTTGAATGAAAAGAAAAGTCGTTAGTTCTGAAAGCGGATTTTGTTTTCACATCAAAAAGTAGGCACTATCGTTCTTCATCATTCTTTAATTTTTGAATAACACTCATGAAGCTAATGATTTATTTGCTTATCCATTTGACATACTTGTATCAATTTAGAACAGTAAATCCACTACACTGTTTCGCCCATCTTGGAATATTCAGTGGCCTGCTCTTATTCTTATTAAACTGGTTTACATGAATGGTGTTATTTATTGTCTTTACAATTATCTCAATAAAGACAAGACAAGTATATTCTCATTCTCTTCATTACATTATTGTAAATGTACCGAACAAGGTTGTAAAACTATAATCTTCGCCTTCCTAATTTGACCCAACATTTTCATTCAATCGAATATAAAATGATCGCCATACAGAATATGTCTAGTTTAACATACTTCTGATCACTATATATCGTTCTAAAAACATTGATCTCGCATATCGACAAATATTTCACATTATAATCTATTAACACTAAAAAAATCATTTGTGATTGTTCCAATGAATTACTCACGGATCCATATAGGTAATTTAGAATCTCATTGGCTATGACCTTGTGTCGTAATGAAATTTCTCCCGTTCATCGATTTCCACATTTCCACTTCTTAAAAACATTAGCTATTGTTTATCTAGACCTCTGTCGCTAGATGTATAGCGAGATACATTATTAGCAGTCGATTCAATGTTTTTGAAATGTACAATATGAATGTAATAAGAGTCATCCCTCGCGCATTTTGTGGCCCATGAGATTTTGAAATACCTCTACTTATACACCGTCAGCTGATTCATATTTGGCAATTTTCTCCGTAAAAGATGTTAAACATGAAGCACTAAATGACCTTCTGGTGAAGATAAATAAGTGTATTTCTACTTGATACGTTTTTCTAACCATTTCAGTATTTTTTATCGTTTTTGAATGTATTTGGCATAAAACATTGTCTGATATAGGTACAATACTTTTAATAGTAGATAAATATATTTATTGGCAATGAAATATTCTCTAAAACTTTTTAGAAGACAGAGGAAAGAAGAAAAAACAAAAATTGAAGGCAATCATTAAACTGTTGATTCTTGGAGTGGTTTTGTATGCCAAAGCTATATTGCTGCTCAAGTTCCTCGCTTGGAAGGTTCAAGTAAAGTTTTTACTGATCGCACTCGGCAACCTCCTAATAAATGGACTGAAATTGTGGTGGGAGTTCAAGGCTAAAAGTTCGCATAATCCTCAAAAGGTCATATACTACGAACACGCCCAACATCAGCACCATTACGACGGAGGCGGTGAGGATTGGGAGTCTTCAGGACCCCCGAGTGGTGGTGGTGGCGGTGGATATTGGGGAAGATCATATGACGACAAAGACATGCTAGCAGCACAAGAATTGGCATATGCAAAACAACAAAGACCAAAGCCTGCTGATTATTTGGCCAATGCTAAGAAGGCAGGATCGTGGTTTGCGAAATAAGCGGTAAATGGGAAATTTGGGATTTATACATATGTATACTTAGATACTTATTGATTAAGTATTTATTTATTTACACAGCTGGTATTGCTCAAGAAGTAATTTAGTATTTAATAGAATGTAAGAAGACAATGAAAATGGGCTTCTAAAATACTATTTTAAATGTTGTATGTACACAATTCAGAGATACAGATACGTAATTACACTAGTCCATTATTTAACTTCGCTTTTACAACTTCTTGTTCTTTAAAATAATAAAATAATGACTTAAAATAACACAACTTCTCGGTTTCGTAGTATTTAATTGTTACTGTTTCTACTAATTAGTGTAATGACTTCTGTAGAAAGAAAATGTAACGTTAAAATAATTAAACATGAACTGCATTCGGCTTAATTAAAAAAATAGTTTAGTGTTATTTTCTATTACTTATACTTAACTTTGATAACGTTTCCCTAGTGTAATTTTATTTGTTTAGTAACTANAGCAAAGGAGCTGCTAGTTGCTGAACGTGATGGGCCCTCCGTCTTAAGCTCCGAACTTCTTCTAGTAAAGCTTCATATTGAGATACTGGTAGCGACATTACATGTTTTCATCTGAAACAAAAAATATAAAATTCAATTACCTACCGTAAAATTTTTGAAAGATTGACACATTGCCGCACATTGCATGACAAATTGTCGGACAGAGACCAGCATCTGATCTTTATTTGTCACATTTTTTAATTAACGGTAATGGCACAGTGGTATCGACGCTTGACTGCCATGCAGGCGGACCAGGTCTCTACGCTCGACCGATGCTGTAGCTTTTTTCCTTAATTATCATTATTTACTTATTTCCTTTTTAATATTAAAGTATTAACCAAAGAATGCTTTTGTTTAATTGGTTCGTAGCTCACGTTGTATTGGAGGACTTTCAACTTAGTGGCATTAAAATATGATAAGACTCTTTTTATTTTGACTAAGAGTATAAATTGACATACTTTTCCTTAGGCAACACATTATACTGAATTGGTGATTCTTGAGAAAATTGATAGAGTTGGCCTCTACTATTTGAAAGTTGATCATAATGACATTTGGTAAAAAAACACTTTTTGAAATGATAATAATTAATCCTTCTTCTGAAGATGGCCTTGTAAGTCGAAACTTGTTATGAATTTAATAAAAATTAAGTGAAAGTTTTCAAAAAGTGCTTTTTACCAAATATCATTATGATCAACTTTCATATAGTAGGCCACCTCTATCAATTTACTCAAGAACGGTTTTTCAGTGATATCCAATCGCATAAGAACTAATTTGAAGGACTACAAAGCCTGACCACGACCTAACCTTACGATCCTAAGCAATCAAATAAAAGTAATCTTCGATTAAAATATTTATATACATTGGGCATGTTCTTTACCTACTGAAATGCTGGTTGGAGAGTTGGGAGTAGTTTAACTGTCAGACGCAATTAAAAAATATTTTCCTACAAAAAAAATTAAGCTTACGGTGGGAAATGATAATACGAACGAAGTAGCAGTAAACCTTTGTCTATATTAAAACACCTTTCCTTCGATTTTTTCATAGTTACTATTTCTCAAATTTTAGTAATTTTTATCCATTTTAATGAAAAAGATTAAATTTTCGGAAAAGCCAAGTAATGAAAATTGTTTTTTGTCAATTCCCAATGTTAAAGGGAATTTTTAAGGAAATTGATACAATTTTATAATAGGATAGAAGTTGTTAACTTACATTGAACATAGGAAACTGAATATTGATTAATAAAAAGAAAAAATTTTGAAGGAATATCTGGTGAATTCACATTATATGCCACTTACACAGATTTTTCATTGCCACGTTATTATGCAACTTGCAGCGATTTCTTAACTTCTACTCTCTTTCGGTTTGTATGATAAAAGACTGTATTCACGCATAAGACCCAAAATAAAAATTGGAGACGAAAAATTAGAAGAAAACTAGAAGAAGTCGCCGATTTTCGATATCTAGGAATCCAGGTAAGTTTGGATGGAAGAAGCAGTAGAGTCACAAAATAAAAGGTAACGTATGATCGAATCAGTTTTAACAAGAATTCTCGCGATCACTTAATTCAGAAATTAGAAACAGATTATTAAAGGTGTATGTTTGGAGGGCGGGCAGGCGGAAAAGAAAAAGTTAGAATTATAATAGTTGATTAGTGTTATATATGAATGATGAAAATGTTGTGAATGGAAAAGATTAGGAACGAGGAGGTATTGGAAAAGAAGGAAAAGAGAGGGCGCTCAAAAGTTAATAAGAAAAAGGAGGGCACCTTTTAAGACAAAAATGTTTACACGAGGATATTCAAAAAGCAGAAATAATTGCAAATAGGGGCAAGGGAAGGCATGCATTAGGTTATTGTTCCCAATTAGTAATGGATGTGGAATGTTTCAGGAAATGCGAAAAATTTTCCTAGGTCAGGAAGGACAGGAGGTGCGTGTCCAATTAGTCTACAGATTGATGCTCCTATGAGCTGGTGGGTTTTGGGAAGGTTGCACTTAGTTAACTATAAAAGAACCTCATTATCACATGCCACGATTGGAACGGTCTATAACAGAAGTATAGCTATAGGTGACCAAGAGTTTCTTAGGATTGTCGCCAGAAATCAGGTTTCGAGGATTTGGTATCGTACCAAGCCGAAGTTAAATTTGGACAAAAATCCTAGAAAAACGAAATCCTGAAGATGTCGTTCATGCGAGTTGATAAAACATTGAGGGCAGGATTCCTTAGTCAGTGACAGCCAAAAAGGCCGTAGCCGAAGAATTACTCTGAATGCTTGAATAAAGTTGTCAAACCAAAATAATGTTATTATATAAAGTATTCGTATTTGTTTCAAATAAAGAAGATTATTAAAAATTTGAAGATCACAAACTAAAAAAAAAAAAACGTTTAGGCTCATTATCAGTACAATTCACAGCGATAAGGCTAAACATTGATGCGTTTCAAAGTAGTTCAGTATCAAGTATTTTGGCCAAAGGGCACGAACGACCCTTAGACCCAGCAGCACGAATTTGCCACAGTAACAACCCAATCCATAAAAGTATTTCAAAAATGTCTGATAACGAAAATAAATTCAGCCTTCATCTTCAATTATCTCAACCACTGACTTACAGAGTGAAAAAAAAATAAAGAAGACCACCTGCTATATGATAGCATTGTAATCCCTCGTCCACAGTAGCAATCCCCCATTGGGAAGAGTTAAGCACCAAAATCAATTGGCAAAGAAAGTACCCCTAAAAGCGATATATAAAAAATTATTCGATGAACTAATTGACAAATAGAAAGATTACAAGCGTAATATTTATCGATAAATGTCTAATAGATGAAAAAAGAAGTTAAGTAGCGAACTAAAACTGAACAGAGTGGTTGTATTCTCTGACTCAAAGTCAACGCTGGAAGTTCCAAGTAGGAAAGCAAATTGGTATAAGATGAATAGTATGGCACAAAAAAGGTTTAGTCGGTAATGAAAAAGCGGTTGCAGCAGCAAAGAGAGCAGCACAAGGTGGAATAAGTCTCGATTCAGTTCTCCCTACAACAGAGGACTTCAAGAAATCCGTGGAACTATTTGATGTAAATGGAATATCAGATGGAGCAATGCAATATTCAAACTTCATCTGGTCAGACAATATATCTGGAGCTGGGAACTTGAAATCGGCGACAGAAAACAGCAGACCGAGAATAAAACACTCGCGTTTAACGCATAGAGATTTATTCTCAAAACCTATAATCAATCAATGTCCAAAATGTTTTTAGCCAATTTCCATCCCCAATCTGAATGCAAAGGAACTGAAACTCAAAAAAGCAATCTCCCAAAGGACATCAAGACCATATTAAATAATACCTCCTTATTCCCTAAAGTTGTGAAACTTTTGACCCAGTCTGGTCGACCCAGTCACTGTCGAGACTTCGAGATACGTTCACATTGTCAACGCAGCACTACCACTGAGGATGTCAGCCGCAGTAGCTGACAAAACGTCTGGACACAATAGTTCACTTAGACCACGGTCCTATAGCCCGTATCTTTATTCTACTATGGATTCCGGCCGTGAAAGCCTTTGTTCTTATATTAATAAATTTAGGTTGTTTATCCTGTGAGATAATGAAACTTTGTGCTGTTGCTAATAACTAAAAAAAAAACTAAAACCATATTCCTCTAATTCTTCCGATGGAGTCGAAAAAGTGAAACATTTCAACTTGTTCTTGTTTTTCGTAAATAGAAAACTATAAAATTAATATATAATATATAACTTTAGAATTCCCAATGATCCCTTTTGCTTTTCACTTTTGTTTTTAGTTACATACAAACCCACAAGTAGGTTTAACTGTAACGCAATTTCTATTGTTTTGATTTACGTTTATAAAGCAGGACAGACATCAATGATGCATATCCAACTATATCGCTAGATTGAAAGAAAACATAATTTTTTAGTTAGTGGCACAGGTGTGAAGTAGGTAAATGCAAGAAATTCTAGTCACGCGTATCAATTACACAACGGCATTTTGGCACCTACATGCCTACTTATTTTCTAGTATCTTCACGTCGGGATTGTTTAATCTAAGAATTGGTCGTCTGCATGATAAATATCTACAGAATAAAGAGTATCTAACAGTATCAAATGCCTATCATACGATCATATGTTAACGTGATATGTAAAATTATAAGTATATGTCGTTAATCATTTCTGATAAATGAAAAAGATAACATTAGGTATGAATTTTCATGCAAGAAGGTCTCGTACTAGGCAATAGAGGTAATTTAGAATGACATGAACCTTTTAAACTGACATACAGTAAAACACTTGAAATACACAAATGGTTTAGTTCCCGATAACGAGTTTTGACCCCCAAGTTGCCATCTTTATTTAGAGACTAAAACAATCTTAAGGGTAAAGCTGTTTAAAACTAAATAGAAGCCTTGATAATCCTTCTCTGTTAGAAATTTATGAAAGTATTGAAATACGTAAAAGTAAAGACAGTCTTATGAACTCATATCCCACCCCCAGCAGAGTTAAGTTGAATCATGTATTCAGGAAATTTAACTAGTTGTTGTTGATATTGTTGTTTTTCCCTTTTTGTTGTTAACCAAAGCGTTCAGTATACCTTCAGCCCATCTTTCGTATTGAACGTTTAGGTACTCTCCTTACTGAACTAACCAACAACGAGTTTCACTAGTGTGACCTTCCACAAACTCCACCTCTAGTACGTATTTTTTATTAATAAATTTAATTTTGCTGCTTTTATTGGTTTCTGTTGATGTTCTTAGGCAGGCATCGTAATAACATAATAAGTATTAGATTTAAGATGATTTTAGGCTGTAACTGAGGATGCCACATTGGGTGCCGAAACTAAGCGTTTTTGGAGTTTCGGTT